CCGTGTGTCCGGGGGGGGGGGAGCCTCTCGCGGGGACGGCGTGTGGGCTTGCGCTTGCTTGGCGAGGTGCAGCGTCTGCGCCGTAACGTTCACGCGTGCTGAGGGCTGCGGGCAGCTGGCCCTGGGTGCACGGAGCCTGACGCCCCGTGTTCCCCATCTCCAAATAAAAATGGGCCCCTTGATCAGCGTTTCCAGTAGAACACTCGGGTGATCTCTTCTGGCTTAATTCAGTGTCCTGCCCGATGCGGCGTTTAACCTTTCTCACAAGTGTTTATTTCCAGGAGGGCTGATGACAGCGACAGCAGGAGGGGGAGGGAGGGAGGGATGGATGGATGGAAGGATGGAAGGATGGAAGGATGGATGGATGGATGGAAGGATGGATGGAAGGAAGGATGGATGGATGGAAGGATGGAAGGATGGATGGATGGATGGATGGATGGATGGATGGATGGATGGATGGATGGATGGATGGATGGATGGATGGATGGATGGATGGATGGATGGATAGCTGGCTGCCAAAGTGGCCCGTCGTGATCTCTCTTTGTCTGGGAGAGAGACGCTTCGTTTGTCAGGGCAGAGAGGATTGCTCTGTGCGCAGAGGTCATCACAATGCCTGGTTTGTGAGGATTGTTTCAATGCAACCATACTTCTAAAGTTTACTCCAGCTTCTGGCCCGTATTTAGTTTGTTAAGGTGTTGACACAGTGTCACTGACGTTTTTCTGAGGTGGGTTGTGCTCCCAGCCAGCTTTTCACAGCAAACAGATGGCTTTTCAAACAGAGCATGCCCACAGATTTCTTTTTTTTTTTTTAGGGTGTCTCTAGAATTATGACAGCTCTGTCAGAGAGGGACGGTTTGCTGTTAATTTTCTTGTGACAGATGATTCAAAGTAATCTTTTCTCCTTCAGCTTGCTCAGATGAACCAGCTGTTTAAAAATAAAAAGCACAAGGAGACTTAAGACATAGATCGCTTGGTCTGTATATGCATGGAATTGCACTATTTTGATAAGTCCATCGCTGTTTTTAGATCACTGTGAAATAAGAATGTCTTAAAATACTGGAAGCGTGCTCAGGAGGAGCGTGTTTCCTCCTGGAACCCGAAGACAGGCCGTGCATGCCTCAGATGAAACCTGTCATCTGACTTGCCTGGTTGCTTACACGTGAAACCAGAACAAGCAGAAGGGAGGGGGGATGGCTCAGCACCCTCACGCGGGGCGTCTGGGGGCTTCAGGCAGGGGTCCTGGCCGGGCGGGCGCAGGCTGCCCTCCTCCGCGCGGGGACGGCTCGGA